AGAAGAGAACAAGCATACCTGTTGACACCATCATTGAGTTGTTGGAGTTTATACTCAACACCAATTATTTCCCTTTCAGGAACACAATTTATCAGCAAAAGTTTAGGGCAGCAATGGGGAGCCCAGTATCACCCATTGTTGTTAATTGATGTATGGAGCATCTGGAGCAGAAAGCCATTACAACTGCTCCGATGGAGTGTCTTCCAAAACTATGGAAGCGATATGCTGACGATAGCTTGGAAGTAGTCAATAAAGGTGAGGTCATCAACCCATCAACTCACCTAAACCAGGCGGATGACACAGGTTTCATGAAATAAAATCAAAAGAAGAGGCAGACGGAAAAACTCCTTTCCTGGATACCCTTGTCGTAAGGAGAGCTGATAGGTCTATAGAATTGCTGATATTCAAAAGAAAACGAACTCACACAGACCAGCACCTCAACTTCAATTCACACAATCCATTCTCTCCTGGAAGAATGCATAAACATCATAACTGAACAGGAAGATATAGAAATTGAAAAGCGACATATCAAACAGGCCCTGACAACATGTGTATCCCCCGAATGGTCGATAAGGAAAGTAGAAAAGCAAATGGAAAATAAAGTTAATGCAAATGGCCCCAAGAAACAAAAACGGAAAAACTAACGACATGGTCACTATCTCATACATGCAAGGGGTGTCTGAAGCACTTTCAGGAGTGCTGCGCAAACATCACATGAGCACGTCTATGCCACCCTACAACACCATTAAGCATGTACATGTGTACCAGTTCATCCGAAAGCCAAATTGTCGAAGGAAGTCAAAACATGGGTGGTTTATATAATTCTGTGTTACATCTGCAACTTTTCATATTTCGGGGAAACTGGCAGGAAATTTGATACATGCCGTAACGAATAGCAGAAAGACGTTGAAGTCATAAAACAGCATTCTTCAATAGAAGTACAAGGAAGACATCTGAGAAACAATAAATAAATCAGCCATTACAGGCCATGCTAACACGCACAACTACATCATAGACTGGAATAGATCAAAGAATCCATTTTGGTTAGGATGAGGGGGTTCAATGAACAGAGACGAGGGGGCCACCAGCTGAGTCATCTTTATGACACTATTTTAACATCCACTGGGGTGCGGAATGTGTAAACATGTTCCCCGTCCCGTGAATGCCTGCAGTTTTAGAGTGGAATTTGGCGAGATGTCCCTATGATTGTTGACAGCTGACTTTACTAATCCGGCACATTGTGGCTTAGTGAGTTGTTTCAGCGGTTTAGAGTCGAGACCCCGGTCATTTACACTCATTGCTTGATAAAGAAAACAGACGTTTTCGTATACTCGCAAAAACAAGTTTTCAATTCCTGTATGTGTTTAAAACGAACTTAGCCTTTTATTCCTCTTGTCAATTTCCGCAGAGATTGTAATCATACCAAGGACTCAACAATATCTGACCTAGCACGACGATCTACTCCAAGAATGAAGAACGAGCTTAGCTGCGTAATGTTAAAAACGACCAAGTTATGCAGTGTATGTAGTACCGAGCTGTACCCAATACCAATGCCCGTCCTTATATAACTGATTGTAAAGTTACTTTTTTTTGTAAAGACCGGTTTTTAGTGTACTGATATCACTTGACAAGGGGTTAATTCCTATGATAGAAAGAGTTTTTCTTCCTATGTCACACACAGCTTCGTTGCGTTATTTGTCAGCTGTTCCTAGGTGGACTTGATAAGAATTGAATTTTCATTTCTGCCAGATCACACCACTCAATAAAAAGACACTATATCTGAATAAGAATCTCGAATACACTTGAAAATTTGCCATACAACATCAAGATTACTAAATGTTGTCATAAGCTCCGCGTGCCAGACCGTGTCAAAGGCCTTTCGAGGTTATTTAAGTCGTCTTGCATACCAAACATTTTCGGAATCAGTTATGTTGCTAATTCGGAGAGGTAAGACGGAAGTCGACAGGAAGGCCTAGATGTATTCGATTGTTGATGGCAGTTTCAAACATACCCAAGGTTCCTGTTGAGTCCCTAGAGCTACATTTCGTACTTTGCACTGCCTAGTTTTATCTAACGTCCAGGTTGTAGCTCTAGGGCTACATTTCGTACTTTGCACTGCCTAGATATTTATCCAAAGTCCAGGTTGATAACACTTTGTTATTGTCTGTATATTTATTGAGTTATGAATACACGTGCAGATGTATTCGACAATACACGGTTGTAAGGGTGGGGTTGTAAAAGTAATGTTATCATTACACATTTAAAGCAATTCCAAAATAAATCATGATCATATATAAATCATCGGGATTTCCGTGGGTTGTTTTTTTTTTACAGAGAAGAGAGTCACTATATAATTTGTTATGGATGTAAACGATCACAAGTCAAGTCGTTATATAATTAGTATTATTATATAATTATTATTATTGTTATCGATTATTTATGTGTCATATGCCACAATGACATTGATACATTTTAAAAGTATACATATTCGTTGCATAAAAGCATATAGTTACATAGCAGGGATACATCATCTTATATATAATACAATTAAAACAATCCTGATATGTCGTAATATATTCATAGAATTGACCAAAATTATCCCAGCTATAAGTCCAGAGAGCAGGTAATCAGGACCGCCCCTACCTGACAAGCTCTCTGTTTGTATTACCAAGTGAGAATCACAGTGTGGTATAGAGGATCTTCTTGGTTTCCTTCGTCATAACATTGATATTTCAAGGAAGGGATGAATCTCTGATAATTTTTCACTGTTAAACCTTATATATGACAGGTAAAATATGATAAAGATGTTAATTGTGCGATTTAATAAATAAAGCATGAACAAAAGTTTCAAAAGCACTTGCCCATCGGGCGAGTGGGTTTTAAACAAATACCCCAGAGGTGAAACATGCACTGGTCCAAACTTATCCCATGCATACACGTATAGGTTATATTGAGTTTGGTTGTATTTAGTTTAACGTCCTATTTACAGCAAAGGACGTGCCTCCATATGTTGATGTATTTTAGAGTGCTACCTCACTGAAATACCATGCCGAAGGCAACTATCACAGTATTCCACCCAGTCACATTATACTGACAACGGATAAACCAGTTATTTCCATTACCGTAATTACTGAACGTTAAGCAGGGAAAACAACTACCACTTTTAAGGTCTTTTGTATGTCCCGGCATGGGGATAGAACCCATTGCCTTCCTCAATTGGGCGAATCCTCACACTAGGGCCAAAAGTGAGGTAGTACCAAGCATTGCACTAGGACACAAAAGGGTTTTCATGAAGTAAACAGAAAGTATAAGGTTCCAATATTACAATGGGGGCAGCAGATCAATTCTGGTTTCCAGAAGAAACATTTACTTCGTGGAATAGGTATTTATTGTTACCTGGTATCTCAATCATTACTCTAGACCCGGTTTATTTTCCTTATTATTTTATTTGTCCATTAAAAAACATGTTGACAACACAATTCTCACATGCATCCTAACATACCTCACATACTTATATACGTAACATAGTAAAAGGGAAATAACTCTTTCGACAACTGCTATAATATACCATATATCTATTTTAACCTATCAAATGTACATAGACAATGATCTTTATTCATGTGATAATTTCTAAATCTACAACTTTAATATATATATTCAGCTATCTATTCCTGAAGATTATAAATTTATTCTTTACATTATTACATAAATATCATTACTTTTAAACCTATACTTTTACTATTACAAATTAATCATATGCGCTATGAAAATTCTAGAAATTATCCAGATAAAACAGCTATGGCGTGAAGGTTTCCTTCAATGTCTTTAATTGAAATGGTTTTAAGTTCAATCAGTAGTTTTATGCTAATAATATACATATATCCAATAAACCATTTGACCATTATGAATTTAATGCCAATTCATAGAAAGTTAAATTAACAAAAAAACTCACTTCTTTACATACTCATTTTCACTTTGACCTTGGAATTGTTCAAAGACAAAATGTCAATTACTTTCAGATCGAACTCAGTTAAGATAACATTACACAAGCACAATTGAATTACACAAAAAAATGGTACATTAAATATCCAAAAATCTATTAAACAAATAGAGTAAAAACTTCCCAGCTAATGACTTTCCTTCTCACCTTTAGATAACATATAACTTGTATACTGGTCAGGAGTGTTCAAGTTGGCCAAAGCCTTTACACGGGTAAACTACGGTATCTGATCATCTGGCCTGTCCTTAGTCACGTGTCATATCAACTCACGCACTCACATGCACACACATGTAAGTACACAGGCAGATTCATTAAAGGTCCTTACACAATCTTTCCCCTACAGACAACATATGCATATATTTACAAAACCTAATACCTACAAAATATATCTCAACCAATTATTATGTAATAACTAATTATAATACAATCCAATCATACCCTATTACTTTATAATAGTATGGCTGCCTCTCCATTGTAAGTAATGACCCGTAATGCTGAGAATACCGTAATATCCATTATAAATGCACGGATTCACTTCCCCGCAGACCAAATCTACTATGCTAGCCCCCTGGCAAATGATCTGAGGTTTTCTTTGTCCTCTTGATGATTGTATTGTGACAGGATATAAAGTATTAGACAAGTTTATTAAGATAGACATAGATTATAGCCAGGAATAATCGTGTGGAAGTTAGGAGGAAGATGATAAATTAACACAGATCAGCAAGATCTACGATTTAAATCTTAACAAGTAATAAACATTCAAAAATTATAATTCTATAACTTCCCTTAGATAGATAAAAGTGAGTTCGCTTACATGTTGTATCATGTTCCTCTATGATATATATATATATATATATATATATATGATTTAGCACTGAATTTGAAATAAAACAAAAAATAGCACCTGCCAGTAAATGTTCCTACACTGTACAATGACTGGGGACGAGAGGGCTGGATTTTAACTTTAATTTTTGCCGGGAAAAAAATCTCAATCGTTACCATGAGGGTCACGTGACGTCGTCCGTAATGGTTGTCCGTCTGTATGTGTGAGTCGACACGATTGTCACTGAACAAGTAAGTATGTTGCACATCAGAGACATATATATAGTACTGTTTTATAGTGGGGGTCCTTTAGTATGTACATCATTTATCATTACTCCAATATTAAAATGCTTATTTTGTATGTTTATATATTGTATAAATGCAAATGATTGTACGCTAATGTTGGTAATCTCAATAAAGCCGATTTGAGTTGAATTCAATTGAATTGATAGATACGATAGCTTTAGTCGTTGTTTTGTTTGAACATACTTGTACTTTTATTCAAGATTCAAGTGTAAAAACTACAATTTGATCAGAATTGACTGGTAATACATGTGTACTTACCTGTGGCTACTGGTAGAGCAGTAGAAAATTAGTCCCGAATGTTTCACATTTTCCATTTTAATAGAATGAATTTTTACCTCGTATATAAATTATAATGCATTTTATCCGTACAAATAAAAAATAAATATAATTTAATGCTGATCCATCGAAAACTATAGAACTATTAAACCAGTGACACGCAATAAACTATATGTACTCTTCCAGTCATATCTAGTTTGCTCCGGTACCACTCAGTCATGTGGAAATCCCCTTTACTAAAAATAGACGTTTGCGTTAAAAATAAACTGAACGTCATTGGGTGTTATAAAAGGAGTACTAAGAAATGCTAGTCATATTCCCAGAATCAAGGTAAGAGATGTTGCGTGTTATCATTTATAGTTTTAGTGTATTTATTGTTATTTAAATGAACACAATGACTAGATACGTACTAACAAGTTCTGGTCATATGTTACTATCGTGTAAGTTATTTAGCAATCCGTAGCTGAAATTACTTGTGACCAGTATACCTGTACTTGCTGTAGATAGATGTATTATCTAAACACATGAAAAAAACCTCTTCAAATTTTCCTTCTTGTTTCAAAGTATCTATAAAGATGATAAAGGGATGTCAGTGTGTTATGCTAGAAGGAAAATGTATTTAAGGTTATATATGTTTCACCACGGAATCAGATTAGTCTATCTATAAGTCCTTGGTTTAAAGAAAACTATTCAAATATCTATTTGGCTCAGAATACATTCTAAATTTAAAGCCGGTTTGCGCATGTCTTAAGAATGTACTGACAAAAATACTTTTCCGTCCTCAAACAACAGTGTAGTTAAATTAGATCATTCTTTATATTGTGAAACATTACTGTTCAGGTATTTAATAGGTAAAGTTAATAATTGTACAGGTATTTATATGTATAGTCACGGAATTAGATTAGGTTATCCAAGTCCGTGGTATAGTTGAAAGACATAAAACTTTCTTCATATTGCAGGCAGAATTTTTATCGGATTTATTATTACTTAGAACTCAATGCCTGTAATTAATACCACAAATTGCATTTCAGTTATGAGTCGTCTTCATTTTCAAGAAATGTCCCAATGTGTAAAATTATTAACACATGTTCAACTTTTAATCTTTCGATGGACATCTCTACGTATTATAGCGATCTCAGCTCTGCTTTTACATTATGAATCCTGAGTTTTACAGGGATCAATGACGAATGGACAATATGATGAACAGAACACGTAAATGAAACTGGCGGTGTGACAAATGTGACGATAGGAATGTCACGATCGTTAAGATATTTCCATCGATATACCAGCCCCTCTGGGAATTAATATATATTGATAACATTTAAGATGTTGCTTCTTCAGAATCAGTTAAGATGTATACATCGTGTTGACCAGTGATAGTTAGACTTACTAGATCTAGGAGTTTCTAACCGAGCGACTTCGTTACGACCCAAGACATCTTATGGTCGTTAGATGACCTATGCACTTTTTTGCTGACCTTGAATATTGATGACCTTGATTTCCGTGCTTGAGATGTCGACGTATAACAAACACATCTTGGTCGTTTATTAAAATTCGAACATCATAGGTTACAACCGTGACGGTCCCGCGACACTGTAAAGGAAGCGCCCTACTAGGGCAACTTCAGAAACGGCCATTTTATATCAAATATGTTTTACCGTAATTAATAAGCTAGCAATTGGTCTTTCTAAAACGGTCAAACGAGGAGTATAACAATTGGATATCCGCATATTTTGAAATACATTGTACGTGTAATAATCACCTTTTAGAGACCTAAATTTGCAGTCTTCTATACCAGACTGGATAGTGTGTTTTTGGAGACAGCGATTTCTAGTCGGGCACGTGTCTTTTTAGAGGTCAACGTTTAGGCTATGTTATATATAGGTCATATTAACATTTTTGATGTCGTTTCGTTTCTATATTGAATTCGTTTAATCCTTATAAACGAGCTGTGCTATATTCATTTCGTGAGACGCACCCTGAGATTGGGTATTCATGTCTTTTAGATGAGACGTATTTAAAACGGAATTTATACGAAATCACAGCGGTGTCAACAATCTATCTACAGCCGTGTAATTCAAATATTATGTCATTTTGATTTCTATTTTCATTCAATTAAACAATTACCCGGCCTTACGTGAGGCAGAGACGTATACCTATAATACAGAGCTATATCTATATATGTCTCTGCGTGAGGGTACCCAAAATCATCATGGAACCTTACCCAAAATGAAACACTTTTTATTTCTGATGCAGCATTTTTGTTTTGTTTTGTGATGCAGGTGAATGTCATCTATTCCAATTGTATAAAAAAAAAAGATAAATAGTTTTAAGAAAATGTGCCGAACCTGTTATGTTTCTCATCAAAATGATTTATTAAAACATGAAATCAAAATAAATTCTTTATAACTTAAAAACCTCCAACATATACTTTGCAAAGTTCTTTTTTTCTCGCACCTATGGCAGAGGGATTTTAACTTTATAAAATACTTATTGGCTTCTTTTCTGATGGTTTGGTCCGGATAATTGGTCCGGACGAAATAGTTTCTTAGTTTTCTATGGTTTCAAACATTCAAAAGACGAGACTTTTTCAAAGAAAATCAACCGCCATTTTCTTGTTCCGGCATGGAAATGAAAGAGGTTAAAAATAAAACTACAGAAGTGAAACGTTATCACGAAATGGGGACATTGGTTTAGATTAACTGGTAAGTTATCATTGGTAATCGTTAGAAATACATACTTTATACAGTAACGCTACTGTGGCCTATAAAATAACAGCATTCAGCGGCCAGCACGTTACAAAAATTACTTTAAAGTGTCGAATCAAAGTCACACCTATAACTTGTCCGTTTTATTTGGGATGTGAAATAAGTAGGAAGGAACGATAGTAACAGTATATTTCTTATAGCATTAGAAACCTGGGGCGTGGTGGTATGTTTGCTTGTACATTATTATCTGATCATGTCTTTTTTTTTTACCAGTTTATCACTTACAACAAAACAGTAGTTATACTGATCAGTGCTTCCTCAATATTACTGAATAGCCTGCAGTATCGATTGTAGTAATACGAAATGTAAAATTAAGAATTGAACTTTTTAAAGATACCGCTAATAATAACTACATTGATTTGTAATGCATATGATTGACAAGGTTCTAACCACAGGAGTCTGACGTTTAATTAATATATGTATAATAGTCTTTATATAAAAAAAATACCCCGTATACTATACTGTTTTTTTTATAGTATACGGGGTATTTTTTTATATAAAGACTATTATACATATATTAATTAAACGTCAGACTCCTGTGTTCTAACCACCGACAACAACCTCTTTGAGTCGATAGATGCATCTTGGATAATTTTTTAAACACAGTCAACAGAATTATCAACTAACAATAAAAAGGGCAGGGTGCCATTCATGTTATAAAATGAAGACAGGACGTGGCGCCTTGCTGTCCTTTGATAGCTGGAACACTTATACATGTTAAACCTTTTCACCCTTATTGGAGGGACTTTTTCCCTGTGAGCAGATGTATATTACATCTATATGTCAATGCTCTGAGAAAGCTCTCGGAGAGGGAGAAAGTGTAGGAAACTTTTCGGTCCTTTTTTCTGCAGCTAAGGTACATATGAATAATGAAGCAAAGAAATGTTATCCTATTATAAAGTTATATCTGTATCATTTTGAAAATGGCTGCATTCCTAAAGTACTAACAGTTACACTCAAGTACCTGGACAAGTGACAATCATTAGCTTAATTATCCAGTCCACTCCATCAATGGCTATTTATTGGTAATTAGAGCTAGGTAGTTAGGCAATTATATATAAGGCTTGATTTATTTCACACAGTTTTGTCTGGTGTTCTAAAATGCTATTTAATTGTAGTAGTATTTGCATTATACACTATAAAGTTGGCATTGTCCTCTAAGAAGGACTTTATAAATGCATCTTTAAAGGGAAGTCTTAACAGAATTATAAGATAGTGGGACTTGATTTTGATGGTTTTATGTCCGCTATTGCAGCCTTTCAGCAGACGATATAGTGGGACCAGACTTATTTTTGATTTTCATTAATGACTTGCCTAATGACATCCACTGCCCGACTATTTGCGGACGATTGTCCTTTAGAGCCTGAGGTGGTGTCTTCAAGTAAATATCTGGGCGTAACCATTAATAACGACCTCCTTGAATGACCACATTGCAAATGTGACCGCGAAGGCTAATCGGTCGATAGGGTTTCTCAGACGTAACTTAAGTAAGTGTAAGTCTGAAATCAAAGCAAATGTCTAGTGTGCGATCATTCGACCATCACTGGAGTATGCAGCCCACATAAGGGATCCCTACCATCACCAGTTAATCAACAAATTGGAACATGCTCAACTACGAGCTGCCCGATTTGTGTTTAATGATTACCAGTCTAGGGAACCTGGTGTTGTGACTAGCATGCTGACCAGTCTGGGCTGGGAAACGCTTGAACAAAGACATGCTAAAGCCAGGCTCCTTTTGTTCTTTAAGTGTCTTTGTGGCCTCGTTGAAATTCCTCTACATCAATATGCATCAAAGTCTGTCTCTCGAACATGCAACATCAATACTTTCAGGCCTATAATAACTACAAAAACAGAAAACTACAAATTCTCATTCTTTCCTAGAACAGTTACATCATGGAATCTTCTACCCAAAAACCTGAGGATCTGCACATCTTTAGAACAGTTTAGGGTGGGCTTATCTCCCCTTACTGTGCTGACCGTTTCATCATATACTTAATATAACTGATTATTTTAACTTGTAAATAGTGCCATTGTGGTTTTTATCTGACCAAGTCTGGTCATGCACACACAGATTCGTCATCATTCAACATCAGGAATTTGAATCTTAACGGGAAGAAGAGAAGAAGGCTGGGTCTTCAGAAGGATCAAATGATAAAACCTGAGATAAAATCACATCAATTTACTCAACATTTATGAACAGTTCCTTGTGCCATTTACTGAAGTTTAATTTGAAAAATCAATATTGAAGCGGGTTCGAAGGGTGATTGTCAGATTTTGCATGTCTGAGTTTAATTTTTCTCTATCTCTTTCAATTCAGTACCTTTTACAAGAGTTATTCACAAGTGACAAGTTAATGCCAAGATGTTTGGTGCAAAACCAATAACATTTGGTTTCCCTGCCAATAGTAAGTATTCTAAATATATTCTACCATAATATTAGTAACATTTTCTGTTAACTCAATAGAATTTGTTTGGAAAAAACCTGTTTTTTATGATATGGCAAAAATAGCTGAAGTCATTGTCATCAATTCAATTTACTTCTCTTTTTTCCTTATTACTTATGTTAGAACTGATAGTTTAGAAAACTGACCTAACTTTGTATAGTCATTTTCGAGCTGTATACAATATGGAACATTAGTTGTATTGGACCTGGTCTGATGAGTGCAGAATAGTTTTAAGGGGCAGTTCTGACAGTGGTTCATTTGCTACGTAATTTTCAAATTACCATCTTAGTTGAACTTACTATTTTGGTTTGATAAAAAACCTAATTGATGCATATTTTTAATGTTTTTAATATTTGTTCACAGCAAATGTTGGGACAGCTACACCATTTGGAGCTAGTACCGGTATGTATCTTTTCTTATTTTAATGTGAATTTAATTTACAAATAATTTTTCAAGTTCACACATGTATGCAGAATGATTCAAATAAAACATGTAACAATCTCACTAATAAACTATATTTGCCCTTTTATTAACTGATGAACCTGAAACTATCTGGCATTAAAATCAAAATCAACAATTTCAAAGATGTTTTGAAGAATGTATCTCTTTAAATTTGTAAACTTTTAGGCCAAAATGGACAAATGAGTTTGTTGAGCATTTTGTTTTTGGAAGTCCAGATCTAGTGACATAAAAAACGTAATGTTTTAAAAGTGAATATTTTCAAACATTTCATACTTAAAACACTGGAAACTTTGCAATTAACTTTAGGAGAAGTCAGTTTGAAAAAAAACCAAATACCCGGTTATGATAATCATATTATGGGGAATAATCATGAAAATTTGTTCTTTGAAGTAATCATAATCTACCTTTAAAGGACTAGTTAAATGATTTCTTTCATTAGAGTTAGTTTTTCCTTTTTTTTTATGTTGATATTGATATTTATAAAAGTAATTTCTGTTAATAACAAGTTTATTTCAATGTTTCAGTTTCCTTTTGTTTAATTTTAGCCTTCTCCAATGTCTGAATTGATTTCCACTGTTTTGTTGTGGTTTTGTTATAGGCATGCTTGTTAATTATAATGTGTCTTCGTTGGTTCTGTTTGTTGAATGGTTTATGCTACTAAAGGCAATAACAGCTTTGGTACAAAACCAGCAGGCACAGCTACATTTGGTACGCCCAATGCCGGAGGTGTATTTGGGACACAACCCACTGCTGCCCCAGCAGGAGGAATGTTTGGTCAGCCCAGCGCCAGTACCGGTGGACTGTTCGGGAATCAGCCAGCAGCAGGAAGCTTTGGACAGCCACAAACTGGAGGATTTAATAGTAAGTCTTCTTCTTTAGAACAAAAGTGGACAATTTCTTTGTATGATATGTTTGAAGAAATGTTTGGACTTTCTTTTGAAACATGAATAGGTCCTTGCGCATGATTGATACTCAAGTTATCTAATAAAAAACGAACCTTTATCAGTAATGTGTAATTGTTTTCTTCCAAGCTTTCCTAACAACTGGAAATGACAATATTTAATGTTATTTCTATCTTACTGTTTACCTAGATATTCTAAAAATGTTTTCTATACATTTCTGACATTTTGAAATTGGCTCAAGAGTACCAAAATAACTCCAATACAATAATATACGTTTGTTTCCAGCATTTGGAAGTACCCCTGCAGCTGGCAGTACCAGTGGGGGAAGTCTATTTGGACAACAACAGCCACAGCCAAGTACAGGGGGAGGACTCTTCTCCACCCCAGCTACTGGTAATGCATTTGGCTCCAAGACTCCAGGGTTTGGAGGTAATAAGATACAGTATTACTGTAGTAAGTGTGCGAGGCACTGATAAATGATGGTGGGGCGCATTACATTATCATACCTTATAGTTTGACTATTGTTTTCATTGTAGCAGAGTCTTTACTAGGTCAAATTGGTATTTTAATTCGAAGTTTTTTTGGTTTTTTTATCAAACATTCAATTTATCATTGCAGAAGTTCTATTAAATGAATTAAAAAGAATCAATTTTTAAAAGATTTGTTGTAATTAAGAGAGGAAATTGAAAAAAGTGAATTAAAGACTAGACAGCATTATATATGTTTCGTTGTTTTATGTAGGGTTTGGAGCTACCTCTACCCCAGGGGCAGGGACTAGTCTGTTTGGTCAGCAGCAACCCAACAACACCTCATTGTTTGGACAGACAGCTGCTGGATCCAGTGGTAAGTGCTGGATTTAAAATTATGTACAACATGTCAGTTTGAAGGTGTCTTTTATTAAATTTAAAACCTTAAATCAATTTTGTTTCTCTGACTTATTAATATCTCTCCTACCATAGATGTGATTCAATTACTTTGAGTATATCTGTTTATTAGGGTTTGGTCAACAGCAACAACAACAGAGTGCTCAAGTTGGCACAGCTCTCAAATTCAGTGCCCCCGTCAGCCAGGACACCATGGTAAAAAACGGAGTGAGCACGCACATCCAAACCCGTCACCAGTGTATAACTGCCATGAAGGAGTACGCCAACAAAAGTCTTGAGGTAAGTTGTTTCAGAAGTTAAACCTTTCACCACTGTAGACCATAATGGACTCATCCAGATGAATGTAGGGTAGAGTCTACTAAAGTTACCTAGGGGTGAAAGGGTCAAACAAGTAAGAATGAGATCTCGGTGATGGAGGCTTTAATGTCATAAACTTCAGAATTCATTTAACAAACAACCACAGAAATTATGTCAAGGCTCAATTTAAACTGGGACTAATTATTTTATCTCTAGACTGATTCATCTCCATAACATATTTCCTGTGTGCTTTGAGAAATACATATAATGTGTGTGGTATTTGATAAGCATTTCACAAAACATGTATTCCCATTGTCCACTTCCTAATATCATGTCTCTTCCTGACAGGAATTAAGGGCTGAGGATTACTTAGCTGGGAGGAAAGGCAAACAAACAGCATTTTTTGGAGCTACCCCAGCCAGTTCAAGTGGCTTCAGTTTCAACAAACCACAGGCAACAGGTTTTGCCGCTTCTGCAGCACGTAAGTTACTTAAGTTTTGATCTGAACAGTTATATTCAAAGTAATAACATATCAATTTAGTACTTATGGAACAAATATAAAGTAACCTATTTTTGGTGAGTGTGGTAATGGTTTTGTATTGACATGACAGTAACATGTATTGTGAAAAAATCGATAAATAATTATAATCAAGAACTGAATTAAAACAACTCTTTGATTTTGGGTTTTGATAGCTTGATGCCTTCAAATATTTTTGTATATTTGAGTTGTCACTGTAAAATGAACACTTTATGTAAGCAATGAGAATAGTTTTGACTTTGTGACTTTGTAGTACATTTGTAATATGTGTGTACTGTTGCAGCCTTTGGAACGACCCCAGCGACACAGTCTTCTCTGTTCAATCAGCCACAGAACAATACAGCTACAGCCAGCCCATTTGGTCAGAACAAGTCCATCTTTGGTGCCTCCGCTGGAACAGCCACCAGTACAGCAGGGTTTGGTACAGGCTTTGGAAACACAGCTGGAACGTCTCTGTTTGGGAACAACCAGCCTAAGGTATTCACCTCGACATAGAAACTCAAACACTGTTAACAATGATAGTTTCCATGAAGTGATATGGAATGTACTCATGTATAAATCATTGTATCATTATAAATCTTTGTTACTTTGATTTCTCTGGAAAGTGCTTGTTTTTGTACTTGTACACTTTTTTAGCTAGAACGATCTTGTGTAATTCTTTTTAATAAAAATGGATATACAAACAACTAACGGCTTTTGTCTTTAAGGTTCAATTGTTTTCTTGTGGAAAAGCTTTTATTAATTTCACCTGTTCTTAAAATGAGAACAATTTCCCTTTTCAGAAAGTGATGATATAAGTAGTATATAATGTGAAATTAAGAATAATTTAATAACTTACAGCCGGGTGGATTTGGGGCAACTGCTGTGACCTCGACCCAGCCCTCCCTATTTGGGAGCACAACCTATGGCGCACAGACATCAGGAGGGTTCGGAACCACCGGTGGATTTGGAACAGCTGCTCCTGGAGTAAGTATCATCATTGATGGCAACATATTTAACTGAGGTTTAACTATAATATTAGTTTATCTTGTTTGTAGCTTCAGAGGCAAACAAATCTAAAGTATTTACAGTTTGAGAAATAAGTTCAGTTTCTTGATCCAAACAACATTTATAAATCAGAGCCTGGTGGGTCTGTTGTGTATTTCCTATCAGACAGTTATTTTATCCTTGCCCATTCAGAATGTTGAGTTTCTGTATCCAAACAACATTTATCAGAGCCTTGGTCTGTTGTGTATTTCCTATCAGACAATTATTTTATCCTTGCCCATTCAGAATGTAGAGTTTCTGTATCCAAACAACATTTATCAGAACCTGGGTCTGTTGTGTATTTCCTATGGTTGTTAGGGAGGTTCGTTAGGTACCATCTAACTTATATACATGTCTGTTTTTGGTTGTTAGGGAGGTTTGTTAGGTACCATCTAACTTATATACATGTCTTTTTTTGGTTGTTAGGGAGCTTTGTTTGGTACCATCTAACTTATATACATGTCTGTTTTTGGTTGTTAGGGAGGTTCGTTATGTACCATCTAACTTATATACATGTCTGTTTTTGGTTGTTAGGGTGGATTGTTTGGTGCCAAACCTAAGCCTCTGTTTGGTACGGCTGCAACATCAGCGCCAACAGGATTTGGCGTGACACAATCATCTAATCTGTTTGCCAAACCAGCAAACAGCACAGGAACTGGCCTTTTCGGAAACACGACTACGCCTACATTTGGAGGTAAGAGGAATATTGATGTAGCAAAACAATTGTTTATTTTTTTTTATCTGTTTTAAGTGTTTATGTTGAAAGTAACTTTGTCTCATTATATTTTTGTGTTGCAATGCAGTGTTAAGAGCTAGCTTTTTAAAAGTTATGATACAAGATTTATATAAGAATATGAGATTTGTATGAGAATACGAGTCAATTTAATATGGGGACAGCATGAACACAAATACTAGGGATAGTACCATCAGCATTATCTAGATAGATTTAACCTATAAAATGAAGTTTCACCAAATTTTAAAATGCCTGTTATGAGTAATATATTAATTTTGGTAAAGATGATTTATTGCAAACATTAAGGATACAAGTTTTTTTTAACAATATCACATTTTCTGTACTATTAATGTCCCTATAATGGTAATCAATTTAATTGGTGTTTTTTCAATGTAATTATTTTCCTTCAAATGAAAAACAAAACCAATCCTAAGATTTTTGTATAGAAGATCAAACATAAGAATTAATTATTTTAACTGTTTCCAAAAATGTTTGATTCATTTTAAAGAGTTTCATTTTTTCTCTTTTAAAACCCCTACCAGCTAGCACTGGTTTTGGAGGGTTTGGTAATGCTACATTTGGTAGGTATCACCACCATTGTAATCCAAACGAAGGCTTCTCTGTGAATTGTACATTGGTCCTTCCAAACAGAGAGTCTTGATCATTGTAAAGGAATGAAAAATTTTGAGGCTTATTTTTGAAAACAATTTGGTTATACAAACACAAACTAAGAATATAAACTGTTTTCACTTTCTTGAGATTGGAGATGCAAATCAATCTAAACAATTCATTATGAAAGGGTTTGATGGTTAGCGTTCATTACATTTGGCCTATGCAAGATATTAAATGTCTGCTGTTTTCACATTCTCGAGTTTGGAAATGAGTCAATGTTTAATCACAGAGAACCCTTGTCTTGTGTGTTATAGACTTTTCTGTGTAGTTGACTGTGCCTGTTCTACGGACCAAACTGTTTGACCCCTCACAGGATGTTACGTATACAGTAGCTCTCAACATCTCTCAATCTCTGTCGTGTGTGTTATAGACTTTTCTGTGTAGTTGACTGTGCCTGTTCTACGGACCAAACTGTTTGACCCCTCACAGGATGTTACGTATACAGTAGCTCTCAACATCTCTCAATCTCTGTCGTGTGTGTTATAGACTTTTCTGTGTAGTTGACTGTGCCTGTTCTACGGACCAAACTGTTTGACCCCTCACAGGATGTTACGTATACAGTAGCTCTCAACATCTCTCAATCTCTGTCGTGTGTGTTATAGACTTTTCTGTGTAGTTGACTGTGCCTGTTCTACGGACCAAACTGTTTGACCCCTCACAGGATGTTACGTATACAGTAGCTCTCAACATCTCTCAATCTCTGTCGTGTGTGTTATAGACTTTTCTGTGTAGTTGACTGTGCCTGTTCTACGGACCAAACTGTTTGACCCCTCACAGGATGTTACGTATACAGTAGCTCTCAACATCTCTCAATCTCTGTCGTGTGTGTTATAGACTTTTCTGTGTAGTTGACTGTGCCTGTTCTACGGACCAAACTGTTTGACCCCTCACAGGATGTTACGTATACAGTAGCTCTCAACATCTCTCAATCTCTGTCGTGTGTGTTATAGACTTTTCTGTGTAGTTGACTGTGCCTGTTCTACGGACCAAACTGTTTGACCCCTCACAGGATGTTACGTATACAGTAGCTCTCAACATCTCTCAATCTCTGTCGTGTGTGTTATAGACTTTTCTGTGTAGTTGACTGTGCCTGTTCTACGGACCAAACTGTTTGACCCCTCACAGGATGTTACGTATACAGTAGCTCTCAACATCTCTCAATCTCTGTCGTGTGTGTTATAGACTTTTCTGTGTAGTTGACTGTGCCTGTTCTACGGACCAAACTGTTTGACCCCTCACAGGATGTTACGTATACAGTAGCTCTCAACATCTCTCAATCTCTGTCGTGTGTGTTATAGACTTTTCTGTGTAGTTGACTGTGCCTGTTCTACGGACCAAACTGTTTGACCCCTCACAGGATGTTACGTATACAGTAGCTCTCAACATCTCTCAATCTCTGTCGTGTGTGTTATAGACTTTTCTGTGTAGTTGACTGTGCCTGTTCTACGGACCAAACTGTTTGACCCCTCACAGGATGTTACGTATACAGTAGCTCTCAACATCTCTCAATCTCTGTCGTGTGTGTTATAGACTTTTCTGTGTAGTTGACTGTGCCTGTTCTACGGACCAAACTGTTTGACCCCTCACAGGATGTTACGTATACAGTAGCTCTCAACATCTCTCAATCTCTGTCGTGTGTGTTATAGACTTTTCTGTGTAGTTGACTGTGCCTGTTCTACGGACCAAACTGTTTGACCCCTCACAGGATGTTACGTATACAGTAGCTCTCAACATCTCTCAATCTCTGTCGTGTGTGTTATAGACTTTTCTGTGTAGTTGACTGTGCCTGTTCTACGGACCAAACTGTTTGACCCCTCACAGGATGTTACGTATACAGTAGCTCTCAACATCTCTCAATCTCTGTCGTGTGTGTTATAGACTTTTCTGTGTAGTTGACTGTGCCTGTTCTACGGACCAAACTGTTTGACCCCTCACAGGATGTTACGTATACAGTAGCTCTCAACATCTCTCAATCTCTGTCGTGTGTGTTATAGACTTTTCTGTGTAGTTGACTGTGCCTGTTCTACGGACCAAACTGTTTGACCCCTCACAGGATGTTACGTATACAGTAGCTCTCAACATCTCTCAATCTCTGTCGTGTGTGTTATAGACTTTTCTGTGTAGTTGACTGTGCCTGTTCTACGGACCGAACTGTTTGACCCCTCACAGGATGTTACGTATACAGTAGCTCTCAACATCTCTCAATCTCTGTCGTGTGTGAGTTCTCACACCCAGTTCTTCTCTTTTAACACTGGTTATATCTCAATATACAAATATAATTGACTACTTGTCAATACACTATATCTGTCAAAACCAAACCATAAGATAGCACTTAGATAACTTTTTTTGTGTGCTACACAGGTTGGGTATATATATGAGTTTAATTTGGTGTAATGTAAGTTTATAAAGATTTATATAAGATTATTACCTTGTCTCTCCACGCCAGTAGGCGCATAAGGCCTCCACACGTTCTCTCCAACTCAATCTGTCTTGCACTGTTTTGTTACTGTTTTACTGTTGGGGTAAACATGATGGTCTGTGTATTTATAAACATGCTGTTGAAATAAGTTAGATGTAAATGTATTGCACAATAATAATACATTTAATCTTTACACTTTGAGTTCATGCTTTCTTTGTACAACATGAACTATCTAACAGACGAGATACAGGGATCATTCTAATATCCCTCTAACTTACACTTAAACACTTGTTTATAGGTCTCGGCAAAGTGTGTCGCCTTGTTTAACCGCTAATCACCCTGTCATAAGTTTCAGCTAAGTGTGCGAACATTTGTAGAATAAAAATAATTTAATAATCCTTTTCCAAAAAACACAATATATTAAAGTAATTCCTAAATATGTCTCCATAAATATATGTTATGAATAGACTGACCAGATAATTGTTGTTTAGGTAATTGGTTTTGTGTGTATGTAGGATGAGCGGTTAAGATGTTAGTACTTTGTAGATGTGGTATATACATTTGTGTAGAGACTAGTATTAAACTCGGAATGGTACCTTTTAGTTTATATCTGTCCTTATCTTTGCCTGTTATGATCACATATGTAAATTGGTATGCAGCTTATAACCCTAGCTATTTATTTCCTACTTGATTTAAAACATGAAGGTATTTTGGTTATGTGTACTATGATGTGGCTTAGCCTGACAGTATATGGTGGCGATGTGTACTATGATGTGGCTTAGCCTGACAGTATATGGCGGTGATGTGTACTATGATGTGGCTTAGCCTGACAGTATATGGTGGTAATGTGTACTATGATGTGGCTTAGCCTAACAGTATATGGTGGTGATGTGTAATATGATGTGGCTTAGCCTGACAGTATATGGTGGTAATGTGTACTATGATGTGGCTTAGCCTAACAGTATATGGTGGTTATGTGTACTATGATGTGGCTTAGCCTGGCAGTATATGGTGGCGATGTGTACTATGATGTGGCTTAGCCTAACAGTATATGGTGGTTATGTGTACTATGATGTGGCTTAGCCTGACAGTATATGGAGGTGATGTGTACTATGATGAGGCTTAGCCTGACAGTATATGGTGGTGATGTGGCTTAGCCTGACAGTATATGGTGGGGATGTGTACTATGATGAGGCTTAGCCTGACAGTATATGGTGGCGATGTGTACTATAATGAGGCTTAGCCTGACAGTATATGGTGGCGATGTGTACTATGATGCGGCTTAGCCTAACAGTATATGGTGGTGATGTGTAATATGATGTGGCTTAGCCTGACAGTATATGGTGGTGATGTGGCTTAGCCTGACAGTATATGGTGGTGATGTTTACTATGATGTGGCTTAGCCTGACAGTATATGTTGGTGATGTGTACTATGATGTGGCTTAGCCTTACAGTCTATGGTGGTGATGTGTACTATGATGTGGCTTAGCCTAACAGTATATGGTGGTGATGTGTAATATGATGTGGCTTAGCCTGACAGTATATGGTGGTGATGTTTACTATGATGTGGCTTAGCCTGACAGTATATGTTGGTGATGTGTACTATGATGTGGCTTAGCCTGGCAGTATATGGTGGCGATGTGTACTATGATGTGGCTTAGCCTGACAGTATATGTTGGTGATGTGTACTATGATGTGGCTTAGCCTGACAGTATATGGGGGTGATGTGTACTATGATGAGGCTTAGCCTGACAGTATATGGTGGTGATGTGGCTTAGCCTGACAGTATATGGTGGTGATGTGGCTTAGCCTGACAGTATATGGTGGTGATGTGGCTTAGCCTGACAGTATATGGTGGGGATGTGTACTATGATGAGGCTTAGCCTGACAGTATATGGTGGGGATGTGTACTATGATGAGGCTTAGCCTGACAGTATATGGTGGTGATGTGGCTTAGCCTGACAGTATATGGTGACGATGTTAACTGGGGCTATGCATGCAGTATTGTATGAATGTTCTATTACTGTGAATATATTTATACTACATATATAATCCTTTAAACCACAAATCTGTGTAACATTTGAGAAGTTAGTTCGCTGACACATCATATTGAAAGAAAACAAGTATTAATAGAGTAAGAATTGATCAAGGACTATTCAAGCTAGGTAGATATGTAGGTTGGGGGTAGGGACACGCTTCCAGCTAGGTATACATGAAGGTTGGGGGTAGGGACATGCTTCCACTTGATATGTCAGTGGTGAGGGCTAATATAATCGTGAACATCTGTATAGGGGTCCCAGGGGGGAAATTGGGAATATGGGGAGATGTCAAAAGGGGCCCCCCTCCCAGTATCGGTTAATAGAGATAAAAATATAACATATTGAAGTATTGCATCGAAAATAAGAAAACAAAAAACCTGTAAAGGAAGGGATATCTGAAGTAGCATATTGATTAATGCTATTGTATGTAGTTAATGTTTTAATTTGTAAACAAATGCACTTCATGAATTAAATATCTATCTTTACATTTCTGTATTGAAAACATTATTTCAATATATATATTCATTATTTTGATGTGTTTATTTCTTGAATGCAGTGCAGGTAATTGTCTGTTTGTGATTTAAATATATTTATTGTACTTTGAATGCCATGCCTGTAACTGTGTGGGATTAATATTCTATTTTGAAGGCAACACTGGTAACAGTCTGTTTGGAAACAAGTCAATAGGATTTGGTGCAACCAACACCCCAAGTCTGGCCCTTAACACGAATACATTCAACAACAACACCCTCAGCAAGCCTGCATTTGGAGGCTTTGGAGGTTCGGCTGCACCAGCTTTTCCAGGTAATACATTCGTGATTAGGTGTAAGAAAGACAGAGGTAGTCATTTTTGTTTTGGTTGTATTTTTTAAACCATTTAATATATCTTGTTATACAATGCCAATGCTCAATGTCAAATTCATTACCAGCATTAGGACATTTTTTCAGTATTATATGATAAACTAATTGTATTCTTGAAGAAGTTTGAAACATATTAGATCGGGATGTGATAGACATTATCATTACTCAGAATTTATGTCACAGTTAGCTTGATTGACTTTTGGTTTGTTTGTGTTTTACGTCCTATTAACAGCTATGGTCATTTAATGACACGCCAGGTTTGGTTTGTTTGGGTTTTACGTCCTATTAACAGCTATGGTCATTTAATGACACGCCAGGTTTGGTTTGTTTGGGTTTTACGTCCTATTAACAGCTATGGTCATTTAATGACACGGCAGGTTTGGTTTGTTTGTGTTTTACGTCCTATTAACAGTTATGGTCATTTAATGACACGCCAGGTTTGGTTCGTTTGTGTTTTACGTCCTATTAACAGCTATGGTCATTTAATGACACGCCAGGTTTGGTTCGTTTGTGTTTTACGTCCTATTAACAGCTATGGTCATTTAATGACACGCCAGGTTTTGGTGGTGGAGAAAAGCCAGAATTCCCAGAGAAAAACCACTAAACTACAATCAGTACCTGGCTACTGCCCCAAGTAGGCCTCGAACCCGCGACCTAGTGGTGAAGGGCTAGTGGTAGGCGATTATCAGACCGCTTAACCACTTAACCAATTATATATGCTGAAAGACTAATACAATACATTGTATGTTTTTTAGGGCTTTCAGCGAACACACAGTTGAATCTTGGGAGTACTACCTTAAGCACGTAAGTAGACCTGTGTTTGTTGAGTGATGTATCATCATGTGGGACACATACTGTAAAGTGCCTGTATTTCCCAAGGTAGATTGTAAATCCTATCCCTTGGAGAGATAACCAAATACCTTAACTTCAAGCACTTTATACAAGGAAAATACAGTTGTTTTGCTCCTTTTGCAAATACAAGTTCAAACAAATTGCACATGTGTGTGAAATAGGTATTTGTTTAATTGATTGATTGAAAGAAGGTACAGTAAACACCTCTTTACTCGAAGCTGTTAGGTTTTTGTACTAGTTCTTTGTATTGATGGGCTGCTATTATTTTATCAACTTGATATTTTCTTAAATCAAACATGAAGCGTAACCTTCTGATAACCTTACAGGGCTCCCAGTGCTGTTGCTAATTCAGCCAATCAGCTGCAGATACAGCAACAGTTGTTGAACCTGGTTAACTCCCCTTACGGAGACTCTCCACTCTTCATGAACCTGAAACAGGTAAGGCTAGTTCCTGACACTATAATTGTTTTTATTTTAAATTAAAAATTTAGTGTTTTAATTTGAATATGTTGTGTACAAGATGTTTTTGTAAAGGGTAGAAAGGTTGGGGGGGGGGGGTAGTGTCGTGTCTCACGGCATGACTGTGATAATTAGTTGTGTTGTTTACAAGATGTTTATATAAAGGGTAGATAGGTTGGGGGGTGTAATGGCGTGTCTGACGGCATGACTGTGATAATTAGTTGGGTTTTGTACGAGATGTTTATATAAAGGGTAGAAAGGTTGGGGGGGTGTAGTGTCGTGTCTCACGGCATGACTGTGATAATTAGTTGTGTTGTGTACAAGAGCAATGAATTGAAAGAGAAATTTTAATCACTGGATTTTATTTGATGCCAATATGTTATATTTCAGAGTGAAATCAAGCGAGAAGAACTTCTTAAGCCCACCAATCCAGCAGCTCAGAAAGCAGCTCTTAGCAACCAGTTCAAGGTCAGCCCACGACCTACAGCCAGAGTGAAACCCAAGTCTCTTCACAGTGTGCTGAATGGGTCAAAGGTAGGTTGGGAGGGTTTTTGATAAATTATAGAAACACGTTATTCAGGATATTGAAGAAAGCGTGGACTTTGAATATTAATGCTAGCATGAACATTTATGCTATTTGTAAAAGCTGACAATTGGGTATTTTACTTCAATCACAAATAATAAAAGTTCTGGAAATTATTGGTTGTCATATTTGTTTATTCTGTAGGATGTGTTTATGCAGCGTTACATTCAAACTAGTCATGATAAATTTGAAATCACAAAATTGTAGCAATTACTGTGAAATTGATTTAAAATATTGTCATTTGAAACCAGAATAAATGGCATTCAAAATACTTCAATAAACATGTAGCAGTATTTGAACTAGAAAGTATTGCATTTCAGTCCCAGATGTTTGAAGGCCTAGAGGATGAAGGATTCAGCTTTGGTAATGAGACATTTCAGCCCAAAAAGAGCATCAAAAAGTTGGTGATAAAGAAGGGAGGATCTGACTCCTCCTCGCCTGGCAGTCGGTCATCCTCGGTGATGGGGGAGCCTAGTCAACATTTGTCTGCACTGGAGACTGACGGCCCAGACACCTCCAATACCAGTCTGTAAGTGTACCTCCAATACCAGTCTGTAAGTGTACCTCCAATACCAGTCTGTAAGTGTACCTCCAATACCAGTCTGTAAGTGTACCTCCAATACCTGTCTGTTAGTGTACCTCCAATACCAGTCTGTAAGTGTACCTCCAATACCAATCTGTAAGTATATTTAGGACTAGGGACTTTCATCTAAGTTCAAATTTACCTCATTGTATTAATTCACTACTCAGCCTTCTCTTATTTCTGAAGTAAGCGTTCTTTGTAGCGGACATAGCCTATTCTGTTAACAATAAAGATCTCTGCAAATTACACACTCACATCAGGAAACCCTAACCACCAAACCAATACTGTCTGCCCACCAAGAAAGTCTTGGACCTGTACTGTTGTGAGGGTTAAATCAAGTGCTTTATTGCTCAAGTCTTCAACTCATCATGCAATGGTGATTCTATAAGGAAGATTTGGTACAGGTGTTACAGATTTTGTTATATTAGAAAGATGGTAGGCAACTTCTCACTGACCCCATTACTGATCAAATCTGACATGGTTATAAGACAATTGATAGAAGATTATTTACAGAATTATAAATCAACACAGTATATATTTCCTCATGTTCAAATAATTCTAGAATAGCCATGCCAGAAAAGTGGGAAGTAAAATATATAGAATAGTATTTAATGGATTAATAAATAAACAGCAGTCAATATGAAAGTAGTTTTGAAAGGACTAAGTAGAATTTAGTGCTCAGTACAAATGCGAAATGATTATGAATTGAGTTGTAACCAAAACTGATAATTACAGGAACATGCCCCCGGAGCCAGTTTTACAGATGCCAGGGATGACTACTCCAGTTCAGAAACCCGGTTACCAGAGTATGGATGATACCATAGCCATGCTAAATGTACCTAAAGTCCCAAACCGCATCACGTCACGATCGCCAGATGAGACAGACCTTGACATGTCCCAGGCTGAGGACAGTATGGAGCGGAGACCGGTATGTGTTTGATCATTGATCATACGAAGTGTAGATTAAACAGCTTTCTAATTTTCATATTTGTCAAACTGTGATGGTGAAATGAACTAAGGCTTGTTTTGGTAAAGGTCCAGCTTCTCTGGATGGAAGTTACATAACTTTATAGTATTAAACTATTGGCTTGTTCTCTCAACAGATATGTAAGGCATCAACAAATGTAATCAGATTCTTACATAAATTCCATAAGTGTATTACTATTGTAGTGCCATTGTTTTTGACACTTTGTATACATATGTATCTCTAAAGCTAAGAGTAAATAAAGAACTGGAATGCTGTGTTACAGACCACACCTCCCCCTCCTCACGCTGCTGACATTACTCTGACACGGCCCGGCTACTACACCATCCCTAGTATGGAGGAACTCGGAGACATGGTAGATGAACAGGGAGAATGCTTCGTGGATGGCTTCACGATCGGCCGTGAGAGATACGGCAGCATCTTTTTCCCAGGAGTCTTCAGTGTGGCTGGACTCAACTTGGATGAAATTGGTGAGTATTACTGAAGTTTTTTTTAAGAAATACAAATGTGATGATTACTGGTTTTGTTAATTAAAAATAACTTGATGAGGTGATCCATAGGTAGAACAGCTCATTAACTTCTAAACGTTTGTTGCAATATAGGCTGGACACACACAGTAACGTAAACATGCCTAGTTATCCATTCTTAGGTTATTTCGGATAGATATTTCTTCACTTATTCAGATAGATGATTCATCACTATTTCAGATAGATAACGATTTCAGAAAGGTATTTCTTAACTCTTTCAGATAGATATTTCTTAACAATTTCAGATAGATATTTTTTAACTAATTCAGATGGATATGTCATCATCGCTGTTTGTTAAAATGTATGTGTGGAAAATCAACTTTTGGATGATTTATGTTTTTATAGTACACATCCGTAGAAAGGAGGTCGTAGTGTATCCCGACGATGAGAATAAACCAACAGTTGGCGATGGTCTGAACAGGAAGGCCGAGATCACACTGGACTGTGTTTGGCCCATCGACAAGAGTGATCGCACTCATATTAAGGTATATTTCACTGACTTAACTCTGTGTGTCTGGCCCAGCGACAAGAGTGATCGCACTCCTATTAAGGTATATTTCACTGACTTAACTCTGTGTGTCTGGCCCAGCGACAAGAGTGATCGCACTCCTATTGGGGATATTTCACTGACTTAACTCTGTGTGTCTGGCCCAGCGACAAGAGTGATCACACTCCTATTAAGGTATATTTCACTGACTTAACTCTGTGTGTCTGGCCCAGCGACAAGAGTGATCGCACTCCTATTAAGGTATATTTCACTGACTTAACTCTGTGTGTCTGGCCCAGCGACAAGAGTGATCGCACTCCTATTAAGGTATATTTCACTGACTTAACTCTGTGTGTCTGGCCCAGCGACAAGAGTGATCGCACTCCTATTAAGGTATATTTCACTGACTTAACTCTGTGTGTCTGGCCCAGCGACAAGAGTGATCGCACTCCTATTAAGGTATATTTCACTGACTTAACTCTGTGTGTCTGGCCCAGCGACAAGAGTGATCGCACTCCTATTAAGGTATATTTCACTGACTTAACTCTGTGTGTCTGGCCCAGCGACAAGAGTGATCGCACTCCTATTAAGGTATATTTCACTGACTTAACTCTGTGTGTCTGGCCCAGCGACAAGAGTGATCGCACTCCTATTAAGGTATATTTCACTGACTTAACTCTGTGTGTCTGGCCCAGCGACAAGAGTGATCGCACTCCTATTAAGGTATATTTCACTGACTTAACTCTGTGTGTCTGGCCCAGCGACAAGAGTGATCGCACTCCTATTAAGGTATATTTCACTGACTTAACTCTGTGTGTCTGGCCCAGCGACAAGAGTGATCGCACTCCTATTAAGGTATATTTCACTGACTTAACTCTGTGTGTCTGGCCCAGCGACAAGAGTGATCGCACTCCTATTAAGGTATATTTCACTGACTTAACTCTGTGTGTCTGGCCCAGCGACAAGAGTGATCGCACTCCTATTAAGGTATATTTCACTGACTTAACTCTGTGTGTCTGGCCCAGCGACAAGAGTGATCGCACTCCTATTAAGGTATATTTCACTGACTTAACTCTGTGTGTCTGGCCAAGCGACAAGAGTGATCGCACTGCTATTAAGGTATATCGCTCTGTGTAGCAAATTATAGGAAGATATCAAACAGACAGTTGTTAGGAATGCTTGTATACAATTTGTGCCATGGGAGTGTCAGGAGTCATCTTTCCAATTGATTTACATTAAAACGTTCACTAAATGCAGAACAGTGAAAAACCTTACGGCTCCAATTGATACACATACATATCTATATAAATGGTAAGTTTTGTGCTGAATTGAGATAATATCAAACCTGTAGAGCTTGCTTTATGTTAAAAGAAAAATGATAATTAAATATTCATATTAAAGGGAAGGAGGGTACAGATATGAACTATTTGAAGTAATGTTGCCTTTTATTTCACAGAGTCCTGAGCGACTGGCTACAATGAATTATCAGGAGAAAATAGAAGAAATCACTCATCGAATCGGTGGTCGGTTTATAGATTACCGACCAGAGACTGGATCATGGGTGTTTGAGGTAATGAACCAGAATATCCTAGTGTAAGGATTGTAATATATATTCCATTTTGTACAGAATAGAAGGGTTGTCAGTGTAGTTAACGAGACTTATAGAGGAATCAGGAGGAAAAAGTAAATACTGGTAATATATATTCCATTTTGTACAGAATAGAAGGGTTGTCAGTGTAGTTAACGAGACTTATAGAGGAATCAGGAGGAAAAAGTAAATACTGGTAATATATATTCCATTTTGTACAGAATAGAAGGGTTGTCAGTGTAGTTAACGAGACTTATAGAGGAATCAGGAGGAAAAAGTAAATACTGGTAATATATATTCCATTTTGTACAGAATAGAAGGGTTGTCAGTGTAGTTAACGAGACTTATAGAGGAATCAGGAGGAAAAAGTAAATACTGGTAATATATATTCCATTTTGTACAGAATAGAAGGGTTGTCAGTGTAGTTAACGAGACTTATAGAGGAATCAGGAGGAAAAAGTAAATACTGGTAATATATATTCCATTTTGTACAGAATAGAAGGGTTGTCAGTGTAGTTAACGAGACTTATAGAGGAATCAGGAGGAAAAAGTAAATACTGGTAATATATATTCCATTTTGTACAGAATAGAAGGGTTGTCAGTGTAGTTAACGAGACTTATAGAGGAATCAGGAGGAAAAAGTAAATACTGGTAATATATATTCCATTTTGTACAGAATAGAAGGGTTGTCAGTGTAGTTAACGAGACTTATAGAGGAATCAGGAGGAAAAAGTAAATACTGGTAATATATATTCCATTTTGTACAGAATAGAAGGGTTGTCAGTGTAGTTAACGAGACTTATAGAGGAATCAGGAGGAAAAAGTAAATACTGGTAATATATATTCCATTTTGTACAGAATAGAAGGGTTGTCAGTGTAGTTAACGAGACTTATAGAGGAATCAGGAGGAAAAAGTAAATACTGGTAATATATATTCCATTTTGTACAGAATAGAAGGGTTGTCAGTGTAGTTAACGAGACTTATAGAGGAATCAGGAGGAAAAAGTAAATACTGGTAATATATATTCCATTTTGTACAGAATAGAAGGGTTGTCAGTGTAGTTAACGAGACTTATAGAGGAATCAGGAGGAAAAAGTAAATACTGGTAATATATATTCCATTTTGTACAGAATAGAAGGGTTGTCAGTGTAGTTAACGAGACTTATAGAGGAATCAGGAGGAAAAAGTAAATACTGGTAATATATATTCCATTTTGTACAGAATAGAAGGGTTGTCAGTGTAGTTAACGAGACTTATAGAGGAATCAGGAGGAAAAAGTAAATACTGGTAATATATATTCCATTTTGTACAGAATAGAAGGGTTGTCAGTGTAGTTAACGAGACTTATAGAGGAATCAGGAGGAAAAAGTAAATACTGGTAATATATATTCCATTTTGTACAGAATAGAAGGGTTGTCAGTGTAGTTAACGAGACTTATAGAGGAATCAGGAGGAAAAAGTAAATACTGGTAATATATATTCCATTTTGTACAGAATAGAAGGGTTGTCAGTGTAGTTAACGAGACTTATAGAGGAATCAGGAGGAAAAAGTAAATACTGGTAATATATATTCCATTTTGTACAGAATAGAAGGGTTGTCAGTGTAGTTAACGAGACTTATAGAGGAATCAGGAGGAAAAAGTAAATACTGGTAATATATATTCCATTTTGTACAGAATAGAAGGGTTGTCAGTGTAGTTAACGAGACTTATAGAGGAATCAGGAGGAAAAAGTAAATACTGGTAATATATATTCCATTTTGTACAGAATAGAAGGGTTGTCAGTGTAGTTAACGAGACTTATAGAGGAATCAGGAGGAAAAAGTAAATACTGGTAATATATATTCCATTTTGTACAGAATAGAAGGGTTGTCAGTGTAGTTAACGAGACTTATAGAGGAATCAGGAGGAAAAAGTAAATACTGGTAATATATATTCCATTTTGTACAGAATAGAAGGGTTGTCAGTGTAGTTAACGAGACTTATAGAGGAATCAGGAGGAAAAAGTAAATACTGGTAATATATATTCCATTTTGTACAGAATAGAAGGGTTGTCAGTGTAGTTAACGAGACTTATAGAGGAATCAGGAGGAAAAAGTAAATACTGGTAATATATATTCCATTTTGTACAGAATAGAAGGGTTGTCAGTGTAGTTAACGAGGCTTATAGAGGAATCAGGAGGAAAAAGTAAATACTGGTAATATCAATTAAAGTAATTATTTAGCAGGATCCTAAATTTACCTGCAATATTAATTGTAATAATATGAAATTGTAATATGTTGCATTAAAACCTTGGATAACTGCTTCCATTTTGTACAGAGCATAGAAGGGTTGTAATTAATGAGATTTATGAGAGGTTGTCAATAAATCATTAGACTATAAAAGGAATTATGAGTAAAACTGGTATTAAATAACAATGCTGGTAACTATGTACCAGGATCCTAAATTTACCTGCAATCTCTTTGTTTCTGCTACAACAATCACCTCATTGTTACTGTTAAACCAAAAACAATACCACAACCACCTACCTCTATTTTTATTTGATTGATATTATATTTTTTACAGGTGAAGCACTTCACCAAATATGGCATGGACGAAAGTGATGATGAGGATTTGTCAAACTTAGCACAGAAACAGCAGGTCAGTACTGGTTCTTAGAAATGGTAGCGTCACCCCGCCGCGCACAACCCAGTCTGTCTGTGTGTTATATGATTCTTAAATCATAAGCTGCGGACCGGCCCACACCTAACGAGAGACTTGACCCCCAAATGTCTTGTCATCTCTGATATTCGTGGATACAGACGCAATTGGAGTGACGCCATATGTGGAGATCTAAGAGTTTAATAAAACAAAATTTGTGAAAAATTTCATTTAAACATTGGAACAGTGATGGATTAATATCTTCCAAAAGTGTGTTATCAGAATAGAAACAATCTCAATAAGTGCTGGCAAAGAAAGTAACAAGTATTTACAACTCACGCAGTAGCTGTATTACATGAAACACAGGTTCTTTCATGTGTGGTTTACGTTTTCAAAATCATTTACTTTTACTCTGCGCAAATTGCATAAGTTTTGTGTTATACAATATCTTTAAGGCCTTTTTGGAGATTTCTATTTTGATTATTATTGCAATGATGCCTGTCTATTGTTGTAGAGTATTTTAAGTTGAAATAAGACATTTAGTGTATAGCCTTTCTTTGCCACTCTTACACTGTACACAGTGTTACTTCGTGTCAAACAGACTGTTACTTCGTGTCAAACAAAGACTGTTATTTCATGTCAAACGCAGACGGTTATTTCGTGTCAAACAGATTGTTATTTCGTGTCTAACAGTGTTTAAGATATCAAGCACATCGGTGGAGTTTACCAACAAAGACAACATCATACACATTGGCAGAATTGACTAACAAAAACAAACTTACAAGGAAAACTTTTATCTTGTTATAGAGCACCTGTTCCCAGTGTGGGTCAAACATGAACTGTATATATCTACTGAAATACTGAATATGATATAAATCATCAGTGACTTTTCATTACATTTGACTGTAACTATAACATTATATAGTACATGTATTAGATATTCCTTCTATATAAATGGAAAATCAGTCAGAAAGCTATGAAGTGTTTTGTTGTACTCATGATTATTATACATGTAGTATCTTAATATACTTCTCTGGTATTTTTTAACAATCTGGTATCTGGAGTTTTGAGAAAAAAATATTGAAAAATAATGGACTGTAGGATTAAAGTAATTGTTTATAGTGAATGAAGTCACACATGACTTGTTCAGATAGGTGCAACAAGACATCTGTGCTATCTACATGTGCTATAGATAATTACATAAATCTGTCATAGTCTATACATTTTTGAAGATGTCTCTTTTCAAACAGATATATATTAAATTAAGTTCGTAATTTTATATATATTTGATAATTTGAAAGAAAGTGTTTGATTTTGAAGACTTGCAACAGAACTATAAAATTTCTGGTCACTACATTGACCAGGTTGCGGAGGTGGTATGGCCTTTCATACGAACCTGTGAAATTTTCTGTTATCAACCTATTGACTTCATTTCTCTGTGGATATTGATTGAACGTTTTACAGAGATCAGGTATGATGGTCCCTTAACAAGTGTATGTTTCATGACACCATGGTGACGGACCCTTTCTCTGTTATGAAAGATCGATCTTGATATGATGTTATGTCTAACAGCACACAAGGGTATATTTATTGTTTATGATGCCTTTTTACTTTAAACTTGTATTAAAATGTGTAATTGTATCTTATTTTTAATTTCTTTATAGAAGTTCAGTTAAAATACTTTTATAGTGTATATATACTATGTTAAAATTAAAAATCATTTGTTTGAAAATAAACAATAGTGTTTTTTTTTGGTTTTTTTCCAAGTACCGGTACTACTATACATGGTGATAAACAATTGTTCTATTAAGACTTGTGACAAGTCAGATGTCTGTTTTGTTGGGGGATACACAGTGATAAAAAAGTGTTCTATTAAGACTTGTGAGAAGTCAGATGTCTGTTTTGTTGGGGGATACACGGTGATAAACAAGTGTTCTATTAAGACTTGTGACAAGTCAGATGTCTGTTTTGTTGGGGGATACACGTTGATAAACAATTGTTCATTTAAGACTTGTGACAAGTCAGATGTCTGTTTTGTTGGGGGATACACAGTGATAAACAATTGATTGTTCTATTAAGACTTGTGACAAGTCAGATGTCTGTTTTGTTGGGGGATACACAGTGATAAACAATTGATTGTTCTATTAAGACTTGTAACAAGTCAGATGTCTGTTTTGTTGGGGGATACACAGTGATAAACAAGTGTTCTATTACGACTTGTGACAAGTCAGATGTCTGTTTTGTTGGGGGATACACGGTGATAAACAAGTGTTCTATTAAGACTTTTGACAAGTAAGATGTCTGTTTTGTTGGGGGATACACGGTGATAATCAATTGTTCTATTAAGACTTGTGACAAGTCAGATGTCTGTTTTGTTGTGGGATACACAGTGATAAACAAGTGTTCTATTATGACTTGTGACAAGTCAGATGTCTGTTTTGTTGGGGGATGCACGGTGATTAACAAGTGTTCTATTAAGACTTGTGACAAGTCAGATGTCTGCTTTGTTGGGGGATACACGGTGATAAACAATTGTTCTATTAAGACTTGTGACAAGACAGATGTCTGTTTTGTTGGGGGATACACAGTGATAAACAAGTGTTCTATTATGACTTGTGACAAGTCAGATGTCTGTTTTGTTGCGGGATACACGGTGATAAACAAGTGTTCTATTAAGACTTATGACAAGTCAGATGTCTGTTTTGTTGGGGGATGCACGGTGAAAAACAAGTGTTCTATTAAGACTTGTGACAAGACAGATGTCTGTTTTGTTGGGGGATACACGGTGATAAACAAGAGTTCTATTAAGACTTTTGACAAGTCAGATGTCTGTTTTGTTGGGGGATCCACGGTGATAAACAAGTGTTCTATTAAGACTTTTGACAAGTAAGATGTCTGTTTTGTTGGGGGATACATGGTGATAAACAATTGTTCTATTAAGACTTGTGACAAGAAAGATGTCTGTTTTGTTGGGGGATACACGGTGATAAACAATTGTTCTATTAAGACTTGTGACAAGGCAGATGCCTGTTTTGTTGGGGGATACACTGTGATAAACAAGTGTTCTATTAAGACTTGTGAGAAGTCAGATGTCTGTTTTGTTGGGGGATACACGGTGATAAACAAGGGTTCTATTAAGACTTTTGACAAGTCAGATGTCTGTTTTGTTGGGGGATACACGGGGATAAACAAGTGTTCTATTAAGACTTTTGACAAGTAAGATGTCTGTTTTGTTGGGGGATACACGGTGATAAACAAGTGTTCTATTAAGACTTTTGACAAGTCAGATGTCTGTTTTGTTGGGGGATACATGGTGATAAACAATTGTTCTATTAAGAGTCAGTTGTCTGTTTTATTGGGGGATACACGGTGATAAACAAGTGTTCTATTAAGACTTATGACAAGTCAGATGTCTGTTTTGTTGGGGGATACACGGTGATAAACAATTGTTCTATTAAGACTTGTGACAAGACAGATGTCTGTTTTGTTGGGGATACACGGTGATAAACAAGTTTTCTATTAAGACTTGTGACAAGTCAGATGTCTGTTTTGTTGGGGGATGATTATCTCCATGTAAAATATGGTGTCACATTGGACAGAAGTGCCTTCCTTACAGAGTATCAATTTTACTATCAAAGCTAACAGCTGTCGGCACATTTTATCAAGTAAAAATATGAAATAAAAATTGAATGAATCGGAATTAAAGGTAAAGAAATGACCTGCTCTCGTTGTAGAGAAAACCACATTACCGTAGGGGGGTTTATTACATAGGAAATACAGATTTTATCTCGGCTTTCAATAGATAATATTAATGTTGGAAACCAGTGTCTAACAAACAGATCTAGGATTTACTCCTGAAGTCAACAGGTTTCATCTTAAGTCTAAAGCTGCCAAGCTGGATTCAGGAAAACAGACGGAAATACATTTACACAAAATATAGTTGATGAAACAATAAAAACATTCCGAAGTTGGGGATATGAAGTAATATTTCTAATATTAACAAAAACATCATCTGGATTTTTTCTTTGCTAGTTCAAGGTTCATTTAGGGGGAACCTGTAACTGAAAAAAAGAATTATGTAAATTTCCATTAAAAGGAAAATTGCACATGTCAGATAAACGTCAGATTTTTGTGACATTAACAACACATTGTTAATACATAGATACTAGCCATGATGCTGAACAAAATGTTATTCAATGCAGCAATAAAACAATATCCTTGATAAATACTGAAATAATTTTGGTAATGTCTCAGTCTTTCTATTGTGTTCAATACAGTACTACTATTCTTTGAAATCAAAAGTCTTATTGCTTTGAGACATGTAAAAAAGCAATACAAAATCTAGCACATTTCATTCCACCTGGAAGTCTTCCAACATTGATCCTGTAAAATCAATAAAACTGTAACACACTATACAAATGTCTTGAATTTGAAATATTACTGCTTTAAGAAACACAGAAAAATATATACCCATATAACCATAGTCCTGAAAATAATCATTGTCTGAAGTCACTGTAAATAAGAGTTACGAACCCAGCTATAAAAGTGGTTTATTTTATACATACCAGGAAAAGATTTACTATGAGATGGCCAGCTAAGTCTGAAGTCACTGTTAATAAGAGTTACAAACCCAGCTATAGAAGTGGTTTGATTTGTACATACCAGTAAAAAATTTCCTATGACATGGCCAGCTAAGTCTGAAGTCAATGTGAACAAGAGTTACAAACCCAGCTATAGAAGTGGTTTGATTTATACATACCAGTAAAAGATTTACTATGACATGGCCAGCTAAGTCTGAAGTCAATGTGAATAAGAGTTACGAACCCAGCTATAAAAGTGGTTTATTTTATACATACCAGCAAAGGGTTTACTTTGACATGGCCAGCTAACAATACACAATTCTGGGAAGTGGGATAAAACTTGCATGATATTCAGAAATATTCATCGAGCTTTAGGGTTGTCGAAATCTGGAACAGTCTCCCCGACTATGTTATTACATCGCCAACGATTAAGGACTTTGAAATTAATCTTGATACTCATTGGAAAATCTTGAACTGAAATACAATGATTTGGCCGGCCATAAAGAAATCTCAGGAAATGACAATTAATGAATAATATTTTCTAAATACGTTTGAAATATATTAAGATAGGGATATAGAGGCAGAGTGTCTGCCTGCATCCATTATCTATCCTATTGTATCCTATTGTAAAACTGTTAAGATCATCTGTAGAGATGATGGTTTGTTATACTGGAAATAGAACATGGAGGGAAGAAATAAGATATAGGAAAACACCCCAGGCACAGGAGAGACATGTCAGACTAGATCTGTATTCTAGACTACCCATTGGTAGAGTACAAAGTTTTACCTGTACTGTATCAGTGGTACTTCTAAACACTACAAGTACAGATAGGGATATACTTGATATTACATCATTTATTTCTTGAATTAGTACTCTCACAAAAGCCCACACAAACACGTTGTAAAATGTTCCATTTTGCAACATAACAGCTCCAACCTGTATATGCTGTGACCTAATAAAATAATATGACGATAAATATCTTCATAAAGAAACATGTTAAATTAGCTTGCTTTAGTAATATCTCTCGCTGGATTCTTTGAAAACATAGAATACACTTTAAACTGTAGAATATATATAACTATGTACTCTAGAATATACACATACATATCTTATGCTGTAGAATATGCAAGAACATTATTTGTACTAAAGTACATACATTTGAGATGTTTTACAATGTACCAAATAGCATTTTTCTCCCTAACACACTAGATTTTAAGGTAATAAATAGAAAGCATAATGGTGATCAGTTGATCAGTCAATTTTGTTATCATTGCATTATTTTCACCATCATCATCATTTCCTTTCCTGTTTACTTCAGAAACCTGGACAACCGAAGCCTCAGAACCTAGGGCAGGGACAGCCCTATATTCCTCAGCAGACTGTCAACGGCAAAGCCCCACCCCCCAAGTTCTCTTTGGAGATGTCACAGTCGACAATGGACGACCGTCCTATCCCAATGGGGGATGATGATGACGTACCAGAACTCTCCCATGATGACATACCAGAGGAATTTCTCGATGATATGGGTACAAAAGAATATATTTGCAAAACTGATCCTCGAAACATTATGCAACACGCAAATTCATTTTCTTAAATTGACATTTAGAAGCACTGTTTTGAAAAATATATTCTTCCGGAGTGAAAATTGCAACCATGATCCATCAATGAACACAGGGATTTAAAAGTTTTCTTTGAAGTATTCTGTTCCTGGTTACAAAGGTACAAAGGCCTTTGTGATAAGGAAATGACACAATATTTAGAATGATTTATGATTTGTCACTACAATTCAAAATAGAAAATCTTTCTAATCAGTCCTTTTGTGATCAGTAATATTTCTTTTATTTAATTTAAATATTGATCAAATTCACTGGGGGAAATCACTTCGTAAACTTAGTGAGCTGATGTGATTATCTGAAAATTGAGTTCGACTATTAGTGCAATACCGTGCCCAAATAATTTTTCCCCTTCCATCCTGTGATATAATAATAATAATGATAAATAATATAATAATAATAATAGACTTTATTTAAATTCGATAACAAATTGAATCAAGGACTCATCTCAGATGTGGTCGACATAAAATATACAATAATTACAACAGATATGATAGAAGATCACTTGTTACTGACCTGTGATCATACATGGACTAGTATTAGAATTTCTTTTGTAAAATGATTGTATTTCAATAATGACAAACCATATATCTGACACTAATGACAAACCATATATCTGACAATTATGACAAACCATATATCTGACAATTATGACAAACCATATATCTGACAATTATGACAAACCATATATCTGACAATAATGACAAACCATATATCTGACAATAATGACAAACCATATATCTGACAATAATGACAAACCATATATCTGACAATTATGACAAACCATATATCTGACAATTATGACAAACCATATATCTGACAATTATGACAAACCATATATCTGACAATAATGACAAACCATATATCTGACAATAATGACAAACCATATATCTGACAATAATGACAAACCATATATCTGACAATTATGACAAACCATATATCTGACAATTATGACAAACCATATATCTGACAATTATGACAAACCATATATCTGACAATAATGACAAACCATATATCTGACAATAATGACAAACCATATATCTGACAATAATGACAAACCATATATCTGACAATAATGACAAACCATATATCTGACAATAATGACAAACCATATATCTGACAATAATGACAAACCATATATCTGACAATAATGACAAACCATATATCTGACAATAATGACAAACCATATATCTGACAATAATGACAAACCATATATCTGACAATAATGACAAACCATATATCTGACAATAATGACAAACCATATATCTGACAATAATGACAAACCATATATCTGACAATAATGACAAACCATATATCTGACAATAATGACAAACCATATATCTGACAATAATGACAAACCATATATCTGACAATAATGACAAACCATATATCTGACAATTATGACAAACCATATACCTGGTACAGATGATGACGACCTAAATGGCCAGGAGGAGGGACCAGCCTCCCACAGACTAGCGGCCAGTATGGGAGTGAGTGCCCACAGCATGCAGATGATGAAGGCGTCCTTCTTTGGGGATGAGGAGCAGCATCAGGCAGGAGGTAGGCATTTGTGTTTGTCATACCCTGGACATGGTTATCTCATGTAAGACTCATTGTGATATCTTCTATCACATAGTGCTGACAAGGTCAATCTTCTATCACATAATGGTGACAAGGTCAATTTTCTATCACATAGTGGTGACAAGATCAATTTTCTATCACATAGTGGTGACAAGGTCAATTTTATATCACATAGTGCTGACAAGGTCAATTTTCTATCAAATAGTGGTGACAAGATCAATCTTATATCACATAGTGGAGACAAGATCAATGTTCTATCACATGGTGGTGACAAGATCAATTTTCTATCACATAGTGCTGACAAGGTCAGTTTTCTATCACATAGTGGTGACAAGGTCAATCTTCCATCACATAGTGGTGACAAGGTCAATTTTCTATCACATATTGGTGACAAGGTCAATTTTCTATCACATAGTGGTGACACGGTCAATCTTCTATCACATAGTGGTGACAAGGTAAATTTTCTATCACATAGTGGTGACAAGGTCAATTTTGTATCACATAGTGCTGACAAGGTCAATTTTCTATCAAATAGTGGTGACAAGATCAATCTTATATCACATAGCTGACAATAATGACAAACCATATATCTGACACTAATGACAAACCATATATCTGAAAATAATGACAAACCATATATCTGACAATAATGACAAACCATATATCTGACACTAATGACAAACCATATATCTGACACTAATGACAAACCATATATCTGACACTAATGACAAACCATATATCTGACACTAATGACAAACCATATATCTGACAATTATGACAAACCATATACCTGGTACAGATGATGACGACCTAAATGGCCAGGAGGAGGGACCAGCCTCCCACAGACTAGCGGCCAGTATGGGAGTTAGTGCCCACAGCATGCAGATGATGAAGGCGTCCTTCTTTGGGGATGAGGAGCAGCATCAGGCAGGAGGTAGGCATTTGTGTTTGTCATACCCTGGACATGGTTATCTCATGTAAGACTCATTGTGATATCTTCTATCACATAGTGCTGACAAGGTCAATCTTCTATCACATAATGGTGACAAGATCAATTTTCTATCACATAGTGGTGACAAGATCAATGTTCTATCACATGGTGGTGACAAGCTCAATTTTCTATCACATAGTGGTGACAAGATCAACTTTCTATCACATAGTGGTGACAAGATCAATTTTCTATCACATAGTGCTGAAAAGGTCAATTTTCTATCACATAGTGGTGACACGGTCAATCTTCTATCACATGGTGGTGACAAGGTCAATTTTCTATCACATAGTGGTGACAAGATCAATCTTATATCACATAGTGGTGACAAGATCAATGTTCTATCACATGGTGGTGACAAGATCAATTTTCTATCACATAGTGGTGACAAGATCAATTTTCTATCACATAGTGGTGACAAGGTCAATTTTCTATCACATAGTGGTGACAAGGTCAATTTTCTTTGCAATAGTTGAGACTTTATTGACATGAGATTTAGATTTTATCATGATCTGTCAGTCTTGTATCTTGTTTTATTGTGTTTATCCAAAGTAAACTGGTCTGTTTAACTGCTTGTAGCACTGCATAGAAACTGGACCTAGGTCCTGTAAGTGTCATTTGTTTGACTCTCCAACTCTTATCAAATACTACTTCCACTGTGTCATCACAATCTGTTTGACAACATTAAGTGGTCTTGTGTGCTAATTTATGCCATGGTAGTTATTCTGCGGTGATTTTTTCCCAGAAAATTTCTTTAAAAAAATTTGCTATTCACCTTTATTGGTATCAATATGTCCTCCATACCTGTGAGATAAAGGTAAAACAGATCTGACAGTAATGTTGAACATCACTGTTGCAGTGTTGTGACATGATTCCATGCAGGGTTATCTTACATTACTGTGATATCGTAATACGTATCGTATCGTGGCCTAGGTGTATCGTTAGAAGATATGTGGTGTATAGATTGCTTAGTTGGTTGTATTTCCTGTTCGAGTATTACAATCTAAATACAATAAATCACCCGGTGATTCATTTCACGTTTCCTATGTACAGATGGAGATATGGCGGCGGAGAAACGCCGTGAGACGACCGACAAACATGGTCCTAGTCTTTTCAGCTCTGCCTACAAATCCAAGTGTATGTCTCCCGTGAAGCTGTCACAGATGCCACAGACCACTGACTTTAGGGAACAGCAAGGTGAGGATTTAGGATTATACTGTTTAATAAGGACACGAGTAACAATGATAACAAGCAAAGGCAGTAAAACTTGTTTACAAAGAACACGATTAATGAATCTGGCAAAGACAGCAAAACTTGTTTTCTAAGAACATGCTTCATACAAAATTGAGTGTATAATAAAATCATATTTTTGTATTGTTTGTAATTTTCTTGTAAAAATCGTTTTATATGTCGGACAGTGTCTAGGTTTTATTTGCAAATACTTTGATACCTGATTGAGAGGACAATATTTCAATATGAATACACATATAGTTATTATCTATAGCATTGCTATTCAATTGAGTGTTATGGTCGGTCTTTGTTAATAAAGAAAATTAATCTTTGGCAAAAGTATAGCTGTTATAGCTCTAGATGTTGAAACTAAAATGCAGAGACTTCTGTTTATATAAAACTATTTTTTGGCTAAATTAGGAATGTTTCCCCCTCGTATCCACACACCTGAGCCGATACGCCCAGCCAAGAAGAATTTCCAGTATCCTCCTGTCGCTGAACACATGACCCTGGCCAGTGGGATGAGGCCGGAGGACTTCCCACAGAAGATTGTGGGCTCTCGTGTCATGAGAGAAATTCCAGAGTATTCCAAATCAGAAATGTATGGAAAGCAGAGTCTGAATAAGGATGCTGCTCTGTTTATGGGGCGGTCGTTCCGTGTGGGCTGGGGACCACACTGGACTCTCGCTCACTGTGGAACGCCAATCACCAAGGATATCACAGGTACAGTACTGAAGGAAGTCGGTGTTAAAGATTGACACGCTAAAGTAGGCTCTAAGTTGTCTCATATATATAGCTTCTGAATAGAGTATTAGTACCTTCTTAAATTGCTTTGTAGGAGTGAGTAAAAAGTTAATGTTTCAGAGATATAATTGCTTCCACTGAGCAGATTTTACTATGCAACCTATCATTGGATACCGTGAATTTATACACGATCTGTCGCCCCTCGACGAAATCAGTTAACAATTACAACCATTATGTCATCTCCAGTTTAATATTGATGTTTATCATCTGTCATATATGGAACTAGGAACAATTTAGATGGTTTATGTTGTAGTTAAGTTTTTCTGGAAATTAAATTGTCCCGACTAGGATGACCCAGAATTTTGTACCAGAGGAGAAGACTGAGATCTAAGGTTTGATCTGTGGTTGGTAATATTCTTGTTGTAGAAGAGAAGGACGTAGTTGGGTTTTCACTGCTGTCTGGTGGGAGGACACGACCTGCTGTGGACAGTACTTACGAATGGAAGGTCACTGTAGAGAAGGTGGATGTGGCTGGGTACTTCAGGCAAGAGGACACAACTGTAGTGGTGAGGCATCGTGTAATTGGAAATATCATGTAGGCATTTGGAGCACCTGTCCCGAATAAGGAAACTCTAGAGTCCTAAGTTTGTGGTGTAAAATTTAATCTGGTTGGAATCTTGAGTCCAAAAAAGATGAATCGTCGACTCATAAGTTGTAAAAACCATTGATAATTACAAACACTTACCCAGATTTCTTCCTCAATAACATGCATGTGTCTTTCACTAAAACAGATCCACATTTATAACCCAGCTCCCTAGTCAACAACGTCCTTAAATACGTTAAAACCTGTTAATAGGACGTTAAACAAAATAAAACCAAACCCTAGACAACACGTTCGGTACAACTATATCACCCATCCTTCCACCATTATCACCATTGTTCTGTCCATATTTATACTGTATCTAAATCTTTGATCAGTTATAGATGATCTTGATAACCCCTAAATAATCCTGTCCTGGTTTGTTCTCTCTAAATAACCCTACTTCATCCTGGTTCTGTCTTAAAAAACATTCTCTGGTCTGTTTTCTTTTAAATAACTGCCCTATAATCATTCTCTGACTTGTTTCTAAATAACCTTGATGTTTTTCCCTTAATAATCTTGCTGTGATCTTTTCCCTTCTAGCACAACCATGAGGAGCTCCTGATGATCCAGCTTGACCACTCGGAGAAGGCACGGACGGATTCCTGTCCTCACTTTGTCCCCAGTCCAGGGGTGGAGGCCCTGCATCAGTATGCTGACAGGGCCAAACTCGACAAACAAGACACTGGTAAGGTTCACAATGAAATCATACCTTATAACCATCACATATCTTATAGAACTTTTCACAATAATTCAGATTTAATCAAAGATAAATAAGTATTCAATAAAATGATTATTTATTCAAATCATTTGAGCTATCATTGGATTTATGTTGTTAACAAATTATCCAGTGTGGGAAAAACCCTACTGACTTTGTAATATTCAGCTGGTTAAACAGAATAGTTTGACTATTAAAGGTGAATATGTTAAGACCAGATTTTAACCTTTGACCTTTACAGAGGGACACCCCGATTTTGACTCGCTGAGTCACATGACCACAGTGTTTGACTTGTGTGTATCATTATGGGGAAGGTTGCCCGCATTCCCAGACCTAGGTAAGTACTTCTTCACCTGCCAGTGACCGAGAAATCAGAATGTGATACAGCCATAATGAGAGAGATATTATAGTGATACAGCTACAATGAGAGAGATATTATAGTGATACAGCCATAATGAGAGAGATATTATAGTGATACAGCCATAATGAGAGAGATATTTTAGTGATACAGCTACAATGATGAGAGGTATATTATAGTGATACAGCCATAATGAGAGAGATATTAAAGTGATACAGCCATAATGATGAGAGGTATATTATAGTGATACAGCCATAATAAGAGAGATATTATAGTAATACAGCCATAATGAGAGGTATATGATAGTGATACAGCCATAATGATGAGAGGTATATTATAGTGATACAGCCATAATAAGAGAGATATTATAGTAATACAGCCATAATGAGAGAGATATTTTAGTAAAACAGCCATAATGAGAGAGATATTATAGTGATACAGCTATAATGAGAGAGATATTATAGTGATACAGCTATAATCAGAGAGATATTATAGTGATACAGCCATAATGAGAGAGGTATTATAGTGATACAGCTATAATGAGAGAGATATTATAGTGATACAGCTATAATGATAGAGATATTATAGTGATCCAGCCATAATGAGAGAGGTATTATAGTGATACAGCCATAATGAGCGAGATATTATAGTGATACGGCCATAATGAGAGAGATATTCTAGTGATACAGCTATAATGAGAGAAATATTATAGTAATACAGCCATAATGAGAGAGATATTATAGTGATACAGCCATAATGAGAGATATTATAGTGATACAGCTATAATGAGAGGTATATTATAGTGATACAGCTACAATGATGAGAGGTATATTATAGTGATACAGCCATACTGAGAGATATTATAGTGATACTGCCATAATGAGAGAGATATAGTGATACAGCCATAATAAGAGAGATATTATAGTAATACAGCCATAATGAGAGGGATATTATAGTGATACAGCTACAATGATGAGAGGTATATGATAGTGATACAGCTATAATCAGAGAGATATTATAGTGATACAACCATAATGAGAGAGATATTATAGGGATACAGCTACAATGATGAGAGGTATATGATAGTGATACAGCTATAATCAGAGAGATATTATAGTGATACATCTATAATGAGAGAGATATTATAGTGATACAGCTACAATGATGAGAGGTATGCAATATATGTAGGGATTTTACACCAGTAGTTACTTTACTGAAAATGCATTCTATTTTTTTCCGACAAGGCTGTCTATTTTGGAGATTTAACTATCGCTTTCATGAAAAGTCAATGAAGAAACTGAAATAAACAAATGAACTAAAATTAAAAAAAGTCTTTTTCTTTTTACATAATTATTTATTCATAAAAGAAATAAATAAATAATTCACAGTCAAAAGTTGTAATATTGAAATCTTGTGTTGTAGATAATATCGAGGACTCGTACGACTACCATCATGACAGAAGGGAGGCACTGTCACACTGGCTCATGGAAACATCAAAAGAGAGTATCAAAAAGGAGATCAGTGACGCCAAGTACAAAGTAAATATCACCTCCTTGTACCTAAACATTGATAGAACAAACAATCGGATTTTAATATAAAAAATAGTCTTAATTTTCTTGATTGATGCAATATCATTTTTTTCCAAATTTTGAAGGACTGTTCTGTTGCAGTATCAGTATTTCTATAAAAACAATGTCGGATTTATTTTACCATATCAACACTAGTGATGGCACCATATAACTGCTGTGATGATGTGGGTATCAGGTTTAGAACTTTAACTGCCATTGAATTCAGGCAAATTTACTGAACACAGGAATACATTGAAAACCAAACCAAATTCTACCGGCTCAATGTGGTGTGATTCATGTAAATTAAATTGTTTGATCAGAATAAGAACCACCTGCCTGCCGTGTTGGCCCACCTGAGTGGTAACCAGATATCGGAGGCGTGTTCCCTTGCCCAGGTGTCATCTGACCATCGCCTCGCCCTGATACTCGCCCAGGCTGCTGGCAGCCATCTTCCCAGACAGCTAGTGGAGGGCATGCTGAACGAGTGGATGGAGCTAGAGGTGAGTCTATTGACTTTCTCTGTCTACGAGTCTTCTAGTAAATCAAGCTGAGTTCTACCAACTCCATACACGAGTTTTGAGTTTGTTTGAAGCTATAAGTGAGTTGTGTAAGTACATGCAGAATTTTTGGGTAAATTGGAATGGTGTGCTGGGTGCCTTCGGCATGGTATGTCTGTGAGATAGCACTATAATGTGGGCATCAGATCCGTGCTGTCACAAGGAGGCAAATACACCAACCTACTCTGCCTCCAGCACACATGCACGCTTACACAACACACATGGAGGCGCGTCCTTAGTTAATAGGACGTTAAACAAAATATAACCAAAATAAACCAAAAATTCAGAAGCTTAAGCTTATTGAAAGCAACTTACATATGAGTTAGTTTGGAAGCTTGGGTAATTAGTTGCAACTACATACATTGGCATATATTGTCGTCAGTTTGGAAATTCTATTGCAGATATATGTCATATTAAATTCGCTTGCTAATAATATGCAAATATTTTGCTGGTGTTGACATTTCTTTAAATCTTAACATTCTGAAGTGGTATGTTGGTAATAAAAAAATCAACAATGTATAAGTTCACCGTAAATGTATCTTTTGTTGTAGGCCTGTAGTTACCTGGACCCAGTGCGGGAAAAGATTTACTCCCTAATGGCCGGCCGACTGGTCTGGCCTACCCCAGAGTCCACTGTCAACACGTGTGAATACATGGACTGGAAACGAGCACTGGCTTTACATCTTTGGTAAGGATCTGTAAGATTGACATCTGCTATCGTAATTCAGGCTGAATCTCCTATTAAAGTGTTTCTCCAGTCACACGGTTTTTGTTGACATTGGTTAGAGTGAGTTATTATTTACTTTAGGAAAAAAGTTTCTCACTTTAGTATTTAGTATAAATTGAAGTTATGTATGAACATATATGGATGACAATTATCTATTTTTTATCAAAAGATTTCAGGAATATGTGAGAAGGAACTTATAATGAGTTGAAACGACATATTACCACAGAACAAATGTAGCCTAAGGAAATAAATCTGGCTTTCTAACATACATATATCCTAACCTGTTTGGAGTGTTGTATGGATGGTCTGTGTTTAGAACTTAGTACAGTCTTTCTTACTTTGTTAATGTTGGTTATGTGTACAGGTTCCTGTGCCCTCCCAGCTCCCCAATCCAACAAGCCCTAGATGAGTACGACAATGGCTTCCAGGGGGCGACCACTTATGGTCGTTATTGTAACCCACCTCTGCCACCTTACCTAGAGATGACCTCTGACCTATCAACCATGGGGACAGATCAGGACTCGGCAATCCAGGACACATCTTATCACCTGTTGAAACTGTACTGTCAGCGGTCACACAACCTACAGCCGCTTCTCAACCCCTCCTCATCAACATCAAGTCACCTTGACTACAGGCTCAGGTAAGTTCCTCGACCCCCATTCCCCCCAACTACATGTTTGTGTTAACTCCACAACTCCCCATTTACAGTAGTCTGACTACAGGCTCAGGTAAGTTCCTCGACACCTCCCACCCCCACCCCCACCTCCACTCCCCCCAACTACATGTTTGTGTTAACTCCACAACTCCCCATTTACAGTAATCTGACTACAGGCTCAGGTAATTTCCTCGACCCCCATTCCCCCCAACTACATGTGTGTGTTAACTCCGCAACTCCCCATTTACAGTAGTCTGACTACAGGCTCAGGTAAGTTCCTCGACACCCCCACCTCCACTCCCCCCAACTACATGTTTGTGTAAACTCCACAACCCCCCCATTTACAGTAGTTTAACTGAAGGCTCGGGTATGTCTTATCATGAATCACTTTTTTCTGTTGTCAAAGCATGGTGTACTTTGACCTGTATGCTTATGTTGATAAACTTGATCTTAGCACACTTCAGTGAATAGGCTAAACTGAATTCCCTAAACAACAGAAAAATTAAGGTAATTGTACAACATGGAAAGGCAAGTTTTGTTTTACAATGTGTTTATTATCTCTGACCTGCTCCATTACAGCTGGCATCTACACCAAACCCTGGATGCACTTGGATACAGACACCTGTCCTCCTACCATAGAAACGCCATACACATGAACTTTGCCTCCCAACTTGAGTCCCTCGGCCTCTGGGAGTGGGCTGTTTTTGCTGTACTTCACTTAGAACAGCAAGCATAGTAAGTAATCATTCTACACCCTGAATGATTCTTAAGCTAAAACGTACTAAAATCATGTATTTAAGAAAACAATTTTGGCCAGTTCTTATATTATGAAGGAATCTTAACTTTGTTATGATTGATTGGATCCAATGTAGTTAATTAATTTCTGCCTTGTTCGAGATGTTCTACGATCTGCTACTTACAGTAATAGATGGTTGTCTACTCATGCCTACCAGGAGGGGATGTTAACATTAGACCTTGGGGCATACCAGGCAAGGGATATTGCCATTAGTCCTTCAGGTCCAAACAGCTAGCATGCACTACACAACAACACTTATTAAGCTAGAATGACTGAAGCTCATTGTGAAGGCTGCGTTTAATGGTAATTTGTAATGATTGGCTGTGTGATGAAGAGATAGAAAATTGGAACTTCTGAGTGTCCAGAACGCAGAAAAATCCTTCAGGTTGAGATTCACCTGTATACACAACATATGGATGATACATTCTATTTGGCAATATGGTAACTTCCCATAGAAGTAACCTTCGGTAGGGAAAACGTTATAACTATTTGGATGAATTTCAGTATATCAGTTGTTGATATCAAGATTTAGTTAATACATTTCCTGTTGGTGTTGTTTCAGCCGAGAATCAGCTGTGAGAGAGTTGTTACTCAGACATGTCAGCCTGTCCAAAGACCATTTCTACTTGGAAAAGGAACAGTTCCTGAGGGAAAAACTAGATGTCCCAGCAGAGTGGATTCACTTTGCAAAGGTATATATTGTTACACCAATATTTTGGTCTTTTGAATAAGGTACAATTTCATTTGTAATTTTTCCATACATGTTACATACAACTGTAAAAGGTATTTGAGAGGTTAGAAAACAAAATAACAATGTAACAAAAAGTAACGACATTGCACAGATTGGTTTTACATTTTTAGCCCACCATCATCTGATGGTGGGCTATTCAAATCACCCTGCGTCCGTGGTACGTGGTCCGTCCGTCGTCTGTCGTCCGTTGTCCGTCCATAAACAATTCTTGTTATCAGTATTTCTCAAGAAGTACCAGAGGGATCTTTCTCAAATTTTATATGCAGGTTCCCCTTGGTCCTTAGCTGTGCAGGGCAACTTTTGAGACTGATCGGATAAACAACATGGCCGACAGGCAG